CAAGCATGATTTCACATGGTATAGAATCCCCCATTGGACCCATACTGGGTCCACCACCCCGGCTGTGCTCCCCCTGCCCCAGTGCAAGCATCACCCAGCAACAGCCAAAGCATCAATGGACTGTCAACGCTCCTTTCACACCGAAGCACAGCACACCCCCCAAGCTAATGGGAAGAAAATTAACTCTGTCCCAGCCGGAACCAGGACAGTTGGGATGAGTGTGAAACGCACCCTCCCTTTGTAAAAAAAAAAAAGCTCTTAAATTGAAGTTGGCATTTTGGAGGCCGGTGCTCGAGGCAAGCGTCTTCCACAGCAGGCTGTCACTTGTGGGATAAACGGCTCGTAGGGAGGGGGAAGGTTTGTGGCAAAAACATGGGGTAGGAGCCAGGCTTGCTGGGTTTGGGTCACGGGTCAGACACGGGCATCTCACCTTCCACAAACCCCCGCGAGCCTGTGAGCAGCGAGGGGGAGACAGGAGCAGAGCGAGACAGATGGGGCAGAGGTTCCGAGTTCAGATCTCCGTCCTGCGTCAGATCAAGTCTCCAGCTGCGAGCAGTTTGGATGAAATGAGAACAACGCCTCCGTGGAGTGCCAGGAAGGGGATATATTGAAGGCTGGAAGGTGCTCAGGGAAGGTATTAATTGGCCCTAGAAAAGTAACTGATGCAAAAAGAGCGATGAATGAGTTCAGTGGGAAGTGAGGATGCTCAGCAGCTCCCTTGTTGCTCCCAGCGTGGGTACCAAATCGCGGTTCACGTGGCTGAATCAAATGTCTTTGCACATATAGGATTTACCGTTTGTCTGCAGCCATCCCCACCAGTAACAGCGGAACAGGGCACTGTTGTAATCACGTCTCATTTATTTTAACTCTGTCTTCAAAACATGAGAGTTGCCACACGCAGCTGGATTGAGGTATATTCTAACTCAGCCTTTTGGTTTAGCAGTGAGGACAAAATACTAATACTCTTATATAAGGCCTTTAAATAGTGGTGTTTCTGAGATTAAAAAAGATGTAAAAAGAGCTCACCCTGGATTCCCTTACACTTCAAAATAATTTTCTTCCAGAATTTCCATGGTGCTGCTCAAAGTTCTGGGTACCAGAAGGGTGCCCGAGTCCCATTCCCAACTAGATGCTTGCCTAGTTAAAGTCTCCTGCAGAAGACTGTGGGCTCTGTGTTAAAATAACTAAAAAAATAAACAGATAAAATAAAAATTCCACTATGCTCCCTCCAGCAAGAGACTCAAAATACCACCTGTGGTTTAAAACTTTTGAATATGCACCTTGTAGTCTTGCAAACTTTCAGACAAACTGTGAGATAAAATTAATGTAGTTTTCCTTAAAGGAAAAAGCTTTCATGGAATTTTTGAGTTGTTTATTGTTAATGCATTATTTTGACAAAAGAGCTATTTTTCGGTTTCCAAAAATACATATTGGATTTGACATTAACTTCAGGGATGCAAAGGAATTGTCAGAGAAATTACTGTGAGTCTGGAGTGAGGCGATCCTCCCGGGTTCGAGAGCAGGGAGGATTTGCGTGCCGGCTGGCAGCACCACCAAGGCAACACCGAGGGCACACGGCCATTTTAGGGACCGGCCGGAAAAACAGTCTCCCGTGTTTTGAACTCTCTCATAAGGGTTTTCAGCTCAGCCCTTTCAAAGAAACCCCTTTTGGAAGCAATTGCACTTTCTGCCATAGCGTAATCACCAGAGCCCTTCTGATGGGATGCTCTTTAATCTTCATGCTCAGCTAGGCATCCTGCGTGGGGTCAAATGGTTTTGCTTGCTGATAAGGATGATTGGAAAGAGCACTTTAAGGTAAAAGGCAAGTTTCTCAGAAAAGGATAAAACAAACCGTAAATCTATTAGGAAATAAATAAACAGCCAACCAATACACCTGCACTCAGGGAAGTTTCGGGTTGAGATAAAAGGTCGGATTTAAAAGTGAGGTGTTCTATAATATTTGCTGATAATAGCAGACTGTTGATGAAAAACTGAGCAGAAGTAGAGGATTTCATGTATAGGATCTGTTAGTAGATACGTAACTCTTAGTATACGTTTGATTGTGCTTATTTTCTGTTAAAATATAGTGGAATATAATAGTAGAATATAATGCATGAATTTCGATGGACATCAATCTTGAAGGTATACACGTGTACACACACCCATAGACCATAAAATTCCACCCTGCCATACAGGAGAACTGTTCCAGAAGAGAAAGGAGCTATTTTAGGTTTTGCTTCATGTTATAAGCTCACTGAAAAAAACAACCTCTTTTATACCCAACTAATAAGGTCACGCAGAAGATTAAAAACGCAGCGTTTACCTATGTAATGGGTAAATCTCTGCCTTTTTGATTTGTTTCCCATTTTACTGCTGGGACGCTGCCCAGATGGTGAGCTCTTGGGAACGGGGCGTCCCTGTGTGCTGCAAGGGCAGAGGTGCTGCTTCGTCTCCGGCATCTCTCACATCCACGTGCTGTTGAAACTTTAATTTTAATTAATAAATTTTTTTTTTTTTTTTTTTTAGCTAGAGGTGGTCTTCAGGTGGGAAGCATTGTATCCATCTTTGTCTTTAAACGCCTTCCGAACCGGCAACATTTGTGTCTGGATGTTGCCCACATTTAATTGCAAACAGATTTAGAGTAGCAATTTTTTGTTCTGAGCGTTTGCGAAATGGGCCAGATTTGATATTTCAATCCACAGGCAGGTTCAAATTTTGATCTGATTTTGATGTTCAGATTTGCTCTCAGCCTCGCTGTTTGTTTCCTCTTCTCATCTGTCTCTGCTGGTTTGCTTCTCAATGAGCACGCGTTGATTCACACAGACATTTGATATTTATGCAGTAGCGTATTAGTCACCACAAAGAACGAGACATTGTTTATTTTTGCTGATTTGCTCTTGATCTGTCTCTAAACCAAAAAATAACTCCTCAAATGTAATCTCAAGACATATTTAATTAACTGTGCATAATTTAAAATGAATTCTGCCTTCCTGGTGAGAATTTACATCACTATATTTAAAATTTGAAGTTTAATTTACAATAAAAATTCACTATATTTATTTATAAATAATGAGAAATATTTATACAGTGATATATTTCTGTTTAGCATTTTAGATGAGACAAAGCCCAAAAATACCGTTCAGTTTTTGATTGCAACCTTTTAAATGTCAAGTTGGCTTAAATAATGGGTCCTGATTTGTAGCTCGCTCTCTTTTTTAACTGACTGTTAGCAAACATTTTTCCCAATAAGTGAAATTAAATGCTCTGATCTTAAAAGGAAAAAAAAAAAAAAGAAAATAAGAAAATGACCCTGGAAATCAGCAGTATTACAGCTGAACGTAAAACCCTTTGACGAAGGACTCTTTGCAAGATTGGGACCAGTTTTATTTTTAGTTGAACATTCACTATAACTTGTTTTCAGTAACAAATTAATAAATGCATAGATAGTCACAACAAGGTAATAGATCTCCCAGTTTAGCTTCCTGCATGTTGCAGACTGAAGAAATGAATCAAGGGACCACGTAATTGAATAAAAAAACTTCTATTTGATTAAAGCCTATCTTCAGAATTCAGCTGAAGTTCTGAAATACCATTCCCAGATGATCTATTTACATTAGTTTTGAGGTTTGCTTATTATAATCAAGGACTTTTTGTTATTTTGTGAGAGAATGATAATGGGAGATAAAAAAGAACTCAAGGTAGTAAAAGTCCGTCCATTTTAAAATTAATAGTATTCATTTCACAGCACGGAGCATTAACATGACTTGTCTTACTTGAAGTAACTAATTAGGTGTTTGAAACATTATAAAAGCATTTGTTACACACCTAAGAGATCTATGGGAACTGTAATTATCTTTTTTTACATGCTGATACCGTAATGTAACATGATCTTCAGTCACTGGAAATTACATGTCGAAGCCTCCATTTTACAAGAAAGTGGATGACTTTAGTCAAGGTCTTTTATTTTTAGACTGTAATTTATGGCCGAGATGGGTTTGAAAAAGAAAACCCCAAACGTAAAGGTGCCTGATTCAAGGATGTTTGGTGCTTTTTAGATGATTCCTGCATTGCTGTGGCATCTGTAGCGCATTAACCCCTCGCAGGTAAGCAGGAGCACACGACGGGCTTTTTGTACATGGGTGACACTCATCTCACCTGACTTCAGCCTGAGTGCCGTGCCAGCGGGGCAGGTCGCTGGAGCTCAAGGGAGAAAGACAGCTACGTATTTTACAGAATCCATCTGACGTGTTTTAGACATCTGTTTTACAAAGGCAAGTGTAGCATTGTTACATTCTTAAGGAGTTTTTTCTCTTTGCTAGCTGGAGGGTTTAAGGCGTCATAGAAGACGTCACCGCCCGGCGTGACGTTGGCAGGTGGCCCATTTAAACGGAAGGGATAATTTTTTCTCGTGGCTCATAATTACATTGCCACAGAAAAGGAGTTTTTTCTCTTTGCTAGCTGGAGGGTTTAAGGCGTCATAGAAGACGTCACCGCCCGGCGTGACGTTGGCAGGTGGCCCATTTAAACGGGAAGGGATATTTTTTTCTCGTGGCTCATAATTACATGGCCACAGAAACCAAAACCAGTGGAGTCAGAGATTTGACAGTTTATGGGAGACGGACCCATTTGGGTGTGTGATCATCTGGGTGCCGAAATTCCAGAAACCTGAGAGCAGGAGCTCTGTGCCAGGAGAATAACCAGATATTTCTGTCCTGCGCCAGGAGAATAACCAGATATTTCTGTCCGGGTTCACTTACTCCTCTGCTGTCTGGCTGCTGTCAGGTTGTGAGATGGGGCTGGGTGGGCTGCTGGTGGTGTTCACATCTCAGCCTGCCCGGAGGAAAGCCTCAGCCCTTTCTTTTGCTTTATTCCTCTTGGTCTCAGTCCTGGGGTGTTTGCTTGATTATTATTCAGTCTTTACTTAGGAAAATCTGGAACTCTTTCTGTATACAGTCTATTTCTTACTTTTTTTTGAGTTACAAGATCTTGCACTGCTCTATGGGCTTTTGGTGTTGCATTTGGAAGATACCCTAGATCGGACAGCTAGCACGCCCAAGCTATAGGAAGTAAAACATAAAGGTTGAATTTGCTCAGTGCTTTCCTGAGGTGTATGGACGGAACATGCTGGCTGGCTAAGAATGGGGAAACTTCCCTCTGTGATTTTTCAGCATGGGCCAGGCACAGCCCAGAGCTTCTCCTGTTCAGCGCTGCTCCCAAACTGGAAACCATCAAATTGCCAGAGCACAGGCTTGGACTTGAGTTAATTAGCTTTGGAAATGGTGTGTGAATACTGCGAGATGGAGTGTGCTGCCGAGACCTCCAGCCACTGCCAACCTGGGTGCTGTTTCCAGTGGGAGCAGCAGAGTTTTACCTGGACTTGCATTTATCTAGGAGTGGACTGGCCCATCGCTGCAGGTGGTGAGCTCGTTGGGCTCATGAGCTTGAGAGCACTGATGTACTTGGGTGGTTATACAGCTCCTGGTTTGCACAGAGAAGTGTCCTGGGAGATGGACTTTAGGATCACCGCTGAAATCCAATGGAAGATGAACACTGAAGCTGCTGAGGTTGCATTTGAAGATGATTGCGTTAAAGTCTAATCAAAGCACTTGCTTGGATGTTTCCAAACAGCTGAGGCTGGGATGTGGTGCAGCAAATGCAGATCCGAGAAGAGGAACGGCAGCCCTGGGTCTCCTCGTGCCTCTGTGACGGGGCTGGATTTTTTGCATTGCTCGGAAACCTCAGCATCAGATACAAAATGGGCTGTGTCAGAATTTCCCTCCTCGTCATAGCACTTCACACCCGCATCCCAAACTACACCAGACGAGAGTTGTGGTGGTTCCGCCCCTTTAGTGTAAAATGCAGATGTGATTCAGCTCAGGCAGTCACTTAACAGCAACACGAGTGCCAAGGGCACCAGATATGTGTACCCTTTTTTTTTTTTTTTTTTACTTACTAGATAATGGAAAAAGACTTAAGGAAAGAATGCTACAAACCATTCCGCCTTTCCAGACTTGCATATACCTATCACCACAGATACCACTGTCACAGAGAAGTATTAGAACAGAGATCTGACTTGGAGTTTTCTTTTATCACATCATCTCCCTTTTCTTCTCTTGCTTCTTTACTGCTATTTTGGGACTGAAAGGTAGTCTTGTTGCATCTTTGCCATAAAAAAAAAAATGTATACAATGAGAGACAGTTGCCAACAGTCCCATCATCCTGCAGGTGGGAAGTCACCGGGCATATTTTGTTTTCTCTCTTACTGCTGTGGGTTCCTGCATCTTAAAGGGTTTATGAGAATATCATAGCTGTTCAGTTCAGGCGTTACTGGCCGTCTGACCCCCCTGCGGTACCACTGCTTTCAGAGTCGGTCAGTTGGTTACAAATCCATTGGAGCCATTTTCAATGCAGCTGGGTTCCTACTTTTACAGCTGGCAGACAGAAACCAAAGGTAAGAGGCAAGAGAATAAAATTAGCTGAGTTGGTCAAGCACAGAAGGAGCAAAGACTCTGCCTGCCAGCGTCCTTCTTGGGGAGCAGCAGCCGTCCACAGCTCTGCTTTTGCGTTAGCAAGTGCAACAGAAAACCTTCTGCTGGAATAGAGGCGTTAAACTCCCGTTGTCTTTGCTAAGGGACGATCGGACCGTTTATCCCCAGGGAAGATTCACCCAAGCTTTGTTCAGTCAGTCTCGGAGGGCTGGAGCGACGGTAGAGCCTGGCGCTCGAGGACAGGACCGTTCTTTGGTCTGAGAAATTTCATTTTGAGGCGACGTTCCCCAGAGGAACAATAATCTCCGTTCTCTGAATTGCTGCTACGCCTGTTGCAGCCCAGAGAACCGCAGCAGCGCTACATGAAGTTTGACAATTAGTTGATTTGGTCTTAAATGATTTTTTTTTTTTTTCCTGCAGCATGAAATCTACCTTTTTGTTGTTGCTTTCCAGAGGGCTTCTAGTAAAGGAGAGGAGCAACGCACGCCACCCATAATAAATCAGTTACAAAAGCAATTCTAGCTACTTCTGTTTGCAGATTGTCCATGAAATGACTGTGATTTCATCCAATTTAAACCCTGCTTTACTGTTTAGGGATTGTGTTTTTCCCGGATAATCCCACATTAATGATTCTAGGTCTGTATCTTTCTCACCGATCGTTTTCTCGCAGCGAGCAGCCCAAAGCCACAGCCAGGCAGAGCTTTGCTTGACCCAAGGCAGAGATGCCAGTGCCAGGGTGCAGATACCCCGTTAGCTCTGGGTGCTTATGGTGCCAGGAAAAGTTATATGGCTCTTGCCCTGATGGGAGGATGATGTCCTGCGCGTCTCCCTGCCCAGGGGCTGCCACCTCCCAATGTCTGGGCTGTACCTTCACTCTGGAGACCAGTTACCGCAGGACTTGCCACTGGGAGCAGCTGATGGAGGAGTATCAATCGCATTTTTCGCCACGGCTCAGTGATGGCAAACTGCTGGCCAAGTTGGGCAGAAATAGAAAGCTGGCTGATGCAGGCAATAGTGAGCTGCGGTGCCTCTTGAAACTAATTTGGCGCTGGACACAAGGTGGGCTCAACATCACTGCTCGGGAGGAGAAGTGCCTGCTGCCCCATGCACTAGTTTCCCAGCAGCCGATGGCCAAGTTTGCGTAGGTGGGGTGGTGTCTCCCCGTCTTTCTGCGTTCGGAGAAGGCTGCCCCTGAACTGCCTGGGTGCTCGTCTTGCCAAGGGGGGAGCACAGCGTGAACGCCACAAATGGGTTTTCATTTTAGACCTATGAAATGGTGGGTGGTAGCCCCATCTCAGAAAAAATTCTGCATCATCCCCTTGCCTGTGAAACAGTGGGGGGTGGGGGTGGTTTTGCAGGCACAGCTATAGCAGGAGCACTGACAAGGGCTCGGTTTACAGAGTGACCCAAACCTGGTTTTCATTAGCTGGATGTTTACAGTCCAATATGCATCTCACTTCCTATATCAGAGATGTGTTCCTTTATTGAATAGCCATTTCTTTCCATCAGTTTTCCTTTTTTGTTATATTAAGAAAGGCAAAGAACCAATATATTACATACCTTATGAAGTGTTAAAATACAAGTCGTCTTTGTAGCGCTTGCAGTGTTCCCAGTGGGTCCCATTACTTGAATTAGGCTTTTTAAAGTAAAAATCAGAAAAAAACCCTATAGACAAACAAGCCTCAAACTGAAGTTTGATAAGTAATCATATCTTGCAGGCTAACAGCTGCATAAATAAGTAATGCTTTAAGATCCAAATGCATTTTTAAAATGGTTTTTTGTTTGGGTTTTTTTTTTTTTTTTAGGGAACGGGCAGTCAACACATCTCAGTCTGGGACACTTCAATTTACCGTGGGCAACCTGAAGCCGGAGGAGACCTACACCTTCCGAGTGGTGGCATACAACGAGTGGGGACCAGGAGAGAGCTCGCAGCCCGTCAAGGTCGCCACGCAGCCGGAGCGTGAGTGTGCGCAGGAACGGGGTCTTGGGCGAGGGTGGCAGCGACAGCTGTAGCCATGAGCTGCAGCTCTGCGGTTCTCACACTGCATGGCTTTAAGGTTTTCATATAGCTCCTCTTAGAAAATATGGCCCAGTCCTTATGCGCGGTAAATAAAACCTTTCCTCAATTTGTAATATTCCTTGCAGAGCATCTAGCTGCTCAACAGCAGCATATAGCAATATGCTTGTGTCATGAATAGTTTGTGTCATGACTTTGATGATCACACATCCCATCTTCTATTATGTGCCAGCGTAAGTGATACCAAAAGCTATGCTATGGTACAGAAGGAGTTGGTTTTCTCTAGGAAACGTGTTAAACTTATTGAAAGATACAAAAAACTTTCCACTGGAGTAAACATTTTGGCTTCTTGGTGTTTAAAAGTAAATATTTTCTGGTAGTTAATGTTTAACTGTAAGTGTGTTTTATAAATCTTTGGAGTAGCTGGAAGCTTTCAGTAGACACTTTTCCCTTTCTGTATGTTTCATTTGATTGTAAGTATTTCCACACATCTGGTCTCCAGAAAGAAGAGAAATTTCTTCCGGATGAGTTTGTCCTATTGCAGTTTTTCTCACTTGGAAGGTCCAAGAAGGGCTGTGGCAGAGAGGATTGAAACATCATTTGAGCCCTTCCGCGGCAAAATTAGTTATTCAGAAGAATTGACCATAAAAATGGGATTAGTATCTACTTCTTGGCACAGAGACGGAAGCTGTGCTTCATACCGATGGGCTTTGCTCTGCTTTGGCGAACCAGAGGGGTGAAGGGTGGGATGCTCAGGTGCTTTTAGGCTCCTTCAGTAAGCCCCTGCCAGAATACGCTCACCCTCTGTAATAAGGGGAGAAATCTAATGCTTAGCACAGAAACGGTTTTACATCACCACACGTTGCCGAATTTAACTGAAAGGCAATATTTGTCTGAAAACCCTTCATTGTGTGAAGATAACTGTGCTGGAAACCCCTGAAATGTGTTTTCTTGATTCATTGTCGCAGGAGACTTGTTGCTGGGGGCAGGTAGAGGAGGTGGGGATGGCTCTCCACGGGGGGTGGAGGAGAAGAGGAGCTTGGAAGCAAATCCTGTGATAAGGCGAGCCTCCAGACGTGGCTTTAGGTGGCTTTTGAACTGTTCAGTTCCCTTCACAGCCCAGCTGAGCCCCAGGAAAGGTGTCTGCTAGGGCCAGTGAGAGCATGTGCGACGTCCCCTGACCAGGCAAGGGATGTTGTGAACAAGGGGAGAAGGGACCTTTCAACTTATATTATTCTGTGATTTTGTGTCTGTAGCTTTGTTTATCACAAAACACGAATTTTACTCCCTGTCATCACTTCCCAAACCCCCGAGAGTAGCGATGTTAGTGAAATATCACCCGAGATGTGTCGCCTTCTGTTTTTCTGGATGGCCTTGCGTTTTAGATATGTCTTCAGTTCCTGCTCTGAGATTGCTCTGCCGCTTATTGCGCTTATTTGCAGTTACGCAACCGCCATGTGCAAACGTAAGCAAGGTGGTACCCCAGTCCTTTTTGGGGAAGAAATTCTTGAAAGTCAGTTTATGAATCTGAGCCTTTTGAAAGTAAAGTATTAAGTAACTAACCATCAGCATCATTTCTCTATTAGTAATTTATCTCTGCATAGGCACAAATGCGCATATGCACATTTCTGTATATGTTTGTATTTTATATATGTAATATATATGTATCTACAGAAGTAAAATAACATTTCAATCGGGGAAAATGCCTTCCCCCTTGCAAAGCCCCAGTGAAAAGCAGGCACCGCTACCCCCTGCTGTCACCGTCTGAAGCTGCCACGGCGCAGGGTTACCGGCTCTGTTAAATGCACAGCGTAGACATTTGGAATATCTTTCCTATTCAATAACTTCAAGATTTCTCTAAAGTGTCAAGTTTGAGCATGGAGAAAATATTGCTTTCCATTTTTCTTTTTGCTTTTTACTGTTGACCAAATTATCTTATCATTTTGAAACAAGTCTCTCTGGTCCTGGGAGGCAGTCAGCCTCTATGTGGCTGTCTTTTAGAACACGCTGTAACTATTGTACAATAAATTACATGGCTGCACATAAATTGAATTTCCACATTATTTGAAAATATCAGAAGTATTATGCAATCTGGCATTGTTGAAGAAGAAAAAGCTGATGAAAAAGGACATCTGAAATTCATGTCTGTCAGTGCCTGGTTCTAAAAGTGCATACATTTGCTCAGTAATCAGTTTAAAAGATCAACAGAACAAGTTCCAGCTTTTTGAAATAATCATCCAGAATATATGGGCTGGATTTATATGAAGGTTTTTGTCCCCAGATTAACACCCCCCTTCTTTTTTTAGTAAACTACAACTCCTTTTTCTCTGCCTTTATGGTATATAATTTCACTACAGTATTATCAGTCCGGATTTAAATCCCTGCCTGCTTAAGCCATGTCTAATCTTTTCATACCACATGTGGAGGCTTTGTGAGTTATTATTTTGGCTCCTCAAGATGCTGTTAAAGCAGCTTGGTGGTAGAGAATAAAGAAATGCATCTATTCTCGCAAGGAGGATTGAAGTTGTCCGTCCGAGCTTTGAAAGCAGTTCCCTGCTGTGAGACCAGCTCAGTTCTTTTCACAGCCCTTATGATTTAGAACCAGTTTCCTAATAAATCTACATCTCCACACTGTGTGTATCAGTTGGTGAAAGAGAAGATGAATAGGGAGGCATGTTGGTGTGCCCCAAAGAAACGTGATGGCATCACTCCAGCCTCATAAAGTCGCCTCTTATCATCTCCCTTCCAGTGAAATCAATTTAGTGTGCACTGACACCTCAACTTCTACCCGAGCATCTTTAAGGGTTTTATAAAGAATAATTAATTACTGTATCCTTCTGAGGTAGGGAAGTAATATTATACCTACTTAGAGAAGCCCATGTGTGTCCCCATATGTCTACCCCCTCCTGCGCGATGCTGCGAGGAGCAGATCTCCGACCCCCCGTGGTTGCCCCCGAGGTGGGGAGCAGCTGGGAGGAGCTGTGCTCCCCACCCAGCGTCCTGAAAGTGGAAATTCTGAACCAGAAATATAGAGATTTGCGGTGGATCTGTGTAGTGAGTGGGGCATTTTGCAGCAGCTAGAAGGTGATCTTACTTGCTTAGGAGACTTGGTGACTTTGGTCACAGAGATCCACACCTGCCTAGATACTTCTGTAATTACTTTCAATTCCCATTAGAGGCTGGTGCATCTAACCTCAGAAATCGGTCCCTTTGTCATTTCAGAATTTCATTTTTTCTGGTTATGGTGGGGAAACATCTATTTTTTTTTTTTTTTAATCACTGACTGCACCTGAATTTTCATGCTAAGACAACTAGCAGCAAAAACTGCCATCAATACTGCATTAAAGCAATTGCACCAGAAGATATTAAAGTTTTTGGGTTTGGTGGTGGCTTTTTTCTTTTTTTGCTACAAGTTTTTCAGCGGAGACAATATTCTTTGAAGTTCTTGCACAGAAAATGTTAAAAAGATGTAGACAAAACTTCGACTGCAATCTCTTTTAACATACATTTCTTATACAAATGTCAAAACCACATAGAAAATTAAAAGGCCATTAAAATTAATGCAATGAGATTTCACATGAAAAAGCAAGGGAAGACAGGGATGTCTTTAAAGCCCACATAGATGACAATTTTGTCAAGCAATAATCAGTTCCATATATGTTGAGATGCACAAATTAAGTTTGCAAACTAAACAAGTGCTGGAGTAATTGAATTTTCCGAAGACTTGCATCAGATCCATCCATTTTAGACACCAACGCAGAGACGGTGCCAGATCGTCACCTCTCAGGGCTGGCGAGGGTCCCCAGGCAGGGCCGGACCCTGCCGTTGTCAGATGCTGAGTATTTCAGAGAGCACTAGTGCTGCCTTTGCTCCCTACTCGGAGGGCCGGACCCTGCCGTTGTCAGACGCTGAGTATTTCAGAGGGCACTAGTGCTGCCTTTGCTCCCTACTCAGCTATTTTGGGTACCAGTTTCAGTCACAATGATGATAACGTTGTTGCTGTAAATGATGCTAAGTGATCTCATGGTAGTCAGGGTCTTGCTGAAATGAGAGCCCAGGGATGAGTTAGGGCAGGCACCGCAGGCTGCCTATAAAACCTCCCATCAAGGTGGGCTTGATCAGGTTTTTGGGAGCAGGGAGATGAGAATCACCTTTCTCCAGTGCAAAATGGCCGTGGATCTGGGCGGAGAAAAATCTGAGCATATGTTTAAGAAGTTGGGAGGGCTGGAGACAAGGCTCTGTGGATTTGGGCAGATCGCCGAAGCCTCTTGGTTTCTCCGTCTGGAGAATATAAATAAGCAATGTTGACGAAAGGTTGGACCAGATCATCTTCTGAGGTCCCTTCCAACCTGGGCTATGCGTTGAGTCTGTGACTTTTCCCCTCTCCTTCCTCATGCCCAGGTGCAGGTCTATCTGTACTGCTTAAGCAATGTCCTTCGTGGTAGGGATTTCCCTTTCCGTCATGTACTGATGTAACAAAAAATAATAATTTTTAACAGACCTGCAGCTAGTCCCCTCTGATGAGGGAGCCATGGGCTCCATCGGGCGCTTTCTCTGCTGCAGCCCGTCCCGCCTCGGCTGTCACAGTGATGAACTGAGGACGTGGCGCTCCTGCTCTCCATCCATCAGTTTACAACAACATTACATACATTATTTTAAAAGGAAGAAAAGTCTCTGTCTGAGACTGCACCCTCACCCTGCCAAAATTTGTGTGTACAAAAAGGTCTCCGGAATAATGAATGGCCGCTTTGGTTTTGGACAGTGTCCGTTTTGCAAGGTGCAGGGGTATTTGTGTATTTTTATATATTTAATATATTTATCAATATATGAAAGAGCTGGGGCAGGCAGAAACGTAAGCATCTCTGGTGTAGTGCCTTGGTAGTGAATTTTTCTTGTCATTTGATGAAAGGGTGAATCAGTACTGAAAGATGTGTTCTGTGGAG